GTGCTTCTAGCGTGTTGATCATCAGAGCATATTGACACAGAACTTCAGTACTTGGCAGCATAAGTACTTTCAGAAACTTCTGTAGATCAATGCTTTGAGAAACTCTTCAATCAATATTCTTCTATACTTCTGATGCTTCAGCCTCAGATGCTTCTGATTATCTTCAGATGCTTCTGACCCAGAATGTTCTGGAGCTTCTTTCTTCAGATCCTTCTGGAGACTACGCTCAGGATCTTCTGTAAGGAGCAAGCAGATTCTTCTGAAAGGTGCATCTGGTGCTTCAGAGTCAGAACAACTTCTTGTATTCAATGGCAGATTTGCTTCTAGAGAGTTAATATAATTTTAATCTGCAGCAAAACTCTCAAACAAATTTTAGAGTATATAATTCTTAAATATAAATTTCCTAACAGTTATCATCAAAACAAAGTGTAATTATTAAGAACCAATCTGTGTTCTAACACCTATTTTTGGTGCTGAGGAACCTAGAGATGCAATTCTTCTGTACATTCAGATGTGCAAGGCAGATGGAACACCTGTACCTGCTGATATTCTGCTACGTGCAAGAGAACCAATCCCAGATGTTTATGAGGAGAATATGAGGAAAAGAAGACAGTTAGAGGTGGAAGAAGCTGTTGTTCAGAAGAAACAGAAAACTGCTGAAAAACCACAGAAGATGATGAAGAGAAAAGCTTCTGGAGAAGCTTCATCTGTGAAGGTCAAGCGTGTCAAGAAAATAGGTACTAAATCATCTTTACCTATTATTTCTGAAATAGCAGTAGAATTATGAACAATTAGCTCTATTACTGAACCTCCTCCTTCTCAAACTCAAACCACTTCTTTTTCATCTCAATCCTCTGAACCACCAACAAATTGTGAACCCATTACATCTGATCAACCTGAACAACCAAAAGTTTCTGAATCACAAATTCCAACTGATTTTGTTCCCACTAAACCAATATTTCCTACACTCCCAGAATCCAGTCAAACAAAATCTGCACCACAACAATCATCTGACATTCCTTCATCAGAACCACAAACAACAAAACCACCAGAACCAACACCAACACCACAAGAACCTTCTCCACAACAACCTGAACTTCAACAAACTTTTGTACCTGAACAAATACCATCTGAACCTATTGTATCTGAACCACCAAAATCTATACCTTCCAATCCACAACCTAATCCTCAACCAGAACAACCCAAACCTACTGAATCATACATATCTGATTCTGAGGTTCTGGACATCCAACCCCAGAAAATGATGTTTGATGTATCTTCCACATCTTGTCCCTCATCTACCTCATCTGATTCATCTGAATCTGATGTTCACCCAGAAGTAAGCTCACCTCCCTCTCTCAGAGGATTTGAACCAAAACAACAAGATACATCTACTTCATCTGATGCTATCATTCCTAAACCTACTCTAGAACCTAAACCAAGATCATCAGCTTTTGTTCCACACTTTGATGATCCAAAAGCTGTCATTCCATCCATACGCAAAATAAAACCATTCTTTCGCCTCATGCCTGCTCAAAAGAAACCATCATATCCTCGTCCTCTGTTCATCATCCCAACATTTACCATACCACCCCAACCAGTTCAATACAAACCATCCATTCTGGAAGCCTTTCTTAAACCTAAACCAAGGCTAAATGTTGATATTTTATTTGCTAATTTTATGAAAGAAATAAGGATGACTTTAGACTCTATGAAGAATAAATGCCTTTCAACCATGAACTCAGATGAATCTGATGCTATTTGGAATAGCTTCATGTCCAGATTCAACATTGTTGCTTCAAATCTGAAGAGTGTTTGCTCTGATGATGCGAAGATCAGATTTGATGAGACTGCCAGAACCATGCTATGGAATTTGAAAAGATCTCCAACTTTGCTTCTTGAGGATGCACCTTCATCTTCTGGAGTGTCTGCCACTTCTGAGACTCTTGAAGGATCTGCTTCTGAAGTCAATCCTTTAGCTCTGATGGTTGTGGACAAATCATCTGAATCTGTGATTCCAGACTCTGCAACACCAATGGATATTGACTCTGCTCCTACTGCTGCATCAGAATCTGCTCCGTCTACTTCTTCTGAGATCAAGAAAGAGAACCCAGACTTAGAAGATAAGATTGCTGTGCTAGAAGCTGGTCAATCTGAGATAAAGTCCTGGATGGTAAGGCAAGATCAGAAGACTGACAACATTGAGAAATGGATGTCAAAGCAAGAAGAATCTTCTTCTGAGATCACCCACCTTCTGAAGATGCTTCTTTCCAAACAATCTTAGATTTATGTTTTCTTTATCTGATGTTTGAGCACTTGTTTTGAATTTCTCATTTGATGTTTTGTCTGTTCTATCTAAATATTTGAATGAATGACTCTGAATGTTTTCTCTATATGATTATATCTTTTCTCTCTGTTTCCTTTTATTTGTCTTTAAAAGTTTTCTTTTTGATTATGACAAAAAGGGGGAGAAAATGAAATTCTGACTGTTCAAATAAACTTTACCTGAATGGAATTCAAACATATCAAATTATAACTAACATGAATTTTTAGTCTTTCAGAACTATAATGATATATCTGACAAAATTCTTTAAAGTAACTCTGAGATCCCCAGATCAAGTTTTAACCAATCAGGTTCTGATTCTGAAACGTTCATTCAAATCAAGCTCTAATTTTGAACTTTCAGGCTCTGATTCTGAAAAGAATACTCATGCAAAAAGGGAAGTTTCTATTCTTTCTTAGTATTCAATTCAGGGGGAGATCCATAATCTCAGGGGGAGTTATATTTATCTCTTTATTGAACAAAATTTCCTATGTTTTTGTCATCATCAAAAAGGGGGAGATTGTTAGAACACATATTGGTTCTTAGTTATATCTCTATGTTTTGATGATAACTCTTATGAAATTTTGTGTTAAGAAATTATATACTCTAAATTTGTTCAAGTATTTTTGCTACAAATATTAAACTTAATATTCTACTGAAAGCAAAAATGGATCTGTACATTGAACTACGCAAGCTCTGAGCATCAGAAGTATCTAATTAGAAGACTCTGAACACTGCCTACTGAAGACTCTGAGCGCTGCCTACAGAAGGATCTGAAGCAGAAGCTACAGAAGCATTTGAAGCATAGACTGAAGACTTTGTATGAAGAGTTTCAGGCATTGTTTTTCAGAAAACTCTGATAGTACTGTTCGCTGCATGTACTGAGGATCTGATCTCCAAACTCTGCTCTGACTATTATTCACGTTGAAGCACACTTGCTGCAACACTCTGATACAGCAAACTCTGAAGACATCAAGGCTCTGATATTGATTGTTGTGAATTAGAAACTTGTTGAAGAAGATTATTCAAAGTTATATCCTTTGGTTATGCCAAACGACTCTTTCCTCTTTTATGCTAGACACAAGAACTCAGGCAAAAAGGATTTCTCTGAACGTTCTACTTCTAGGAAAGGTCAAGTGATGTGAAGACAAAAGGCTACAGCTACTTTGCAATACACGGTCTTCAAGCTTGCAATGTCTTGGACTTCTTTGTCTATATAAGCAGGCCTTTAACAACTTTCTTTAGTTGACGAACTTTGACAAAAATTCATTGAAAAGCTCTCATACAAATTATTATTCTTTGCTGAATTTGTTTCATACGTTCTTAAACTTAAGTGTAAATCACAGTTGTGATATAGCTTAATTAGAAGCATTTCAAACACTTGTTTAGTTTACATTTGATTGTAAAAAGTTCCTTGAGAAGACCAAATTGTGGTCAGTAGTTCTTGAGAAGACTAAGACAGTTGTTCTTAGTGGTTGTTATTGTAATCAGTTTGATTATAGTGGATTAAGTCCTTGTGGAGAAAGGCAAATCACTCTTGATAGGGTGGACTGGAGTAGTTGAGTTCAACAAACCAGGATAAAAATCTTTATGTTTTTATTGCCATAATATTTTCTAAATCCTTATTCAACCCCCCCCCCCCCCCCTTATAAGTATTTTCTCACCTTCAGTTGGCATCAGAGCTCCGGTTCTGTGTGTGCTATCACTTCACCGTGAACAAAAAAGATCCAGTGAGAAAAACTCTTGATATTCTTTGGTTGATATTATGGCTGAAGCTTCAACATCCAACAGCAACAACAGATATGAAGAAAGGGATAGAATCATCATAAAACCTCCTATGTTTGATAGGGAGAAGTTTAACTATTGGAAGGACAGAATAGAGAGTTTCTTCCTTGGTTATGACGTTGATCTTTGGGGCTTGGTCATTGATGGTTATGTTCACCCCACTGATGGGGATGATAAGAAAATTGATAGAAAATCTATGACTGAAGCTCAAAAGAAGGAGTTCAAAAATCATCACAAAGCAAGAACAATATTATTAAATGTTATATCTCATACTGAGTATGAGAAGATTACCAACAGAGAAACAGCAACAGAGAAGAACAAGCAAACAAATTTTGGATAAATTGTCATATAATTGAATTGAAAGCACAACAGAATACAACATATGTTTCATTTGCATTACAACCAACATTAGTAGGTACTTAAGTAAGCCTTACAAAATAAGTTTTAAAAGGGCACATAATGTGCATAGCTAGAGTTGTTATAAAACATGGCACATAATGTGCATACCTAGAGTTGTTACAAAACATGACACCTAATGAAAACCAAATTACTAAGTCATTCTCCTTGAAATATCTTCCCATTGTCTTGATATATTCATAGAAGGCTTGTCATCAAATACTAAAGGTGTATCTGAAGTTGAACCAGACCCAACAATTTTTTCCGCTATCCTAACAAATTTCAACCTATCACTGCTCCTTTTAGGTTTTTGAGTATTCTTCTTATCAACCTTCTTTTTCTTCTCAACAGCTCTGGCTACTTTTTATTCTTCTCATTTACCTTGTCAACTATTTGCTCAATATGGCCAGTTGGTGCAACATGCTCAGTATGCTCAATTGGATGCTCAGTTGATGCAGCAACAGGAGTGGAATTATATACCTGAGATTTATGTTCTTCATAGGTTGTCATCATGTGGTTCTTTCATTTCAGAGACACTTTCACCAACATTTGTCTCAGTATTTCCTTCAATTTTAGCAGCAGATGAAGAGGCTTTGGTCCTTGGTGTTTTCTTCTGCACACAATTAAGAAGAATGTTAGAATAATAATTAAGAAGTATATTAGAAGAATACTTAAGAAGCATGAATCATTACCTTTCTCTTCAGTGCATTAGGATCTTGTTCTTTGCTCTGACACTTCCTTAAGTTGTGGCCAAATTTGTCACACTTTGTGCATCTATAAGCTACACCATGCCTCTTTATCCTTGACCCACTTTCATCTTGCTCTCTAAACCTCAATTTCTTAGGCCTACTTGGACCCTTCTTATACTGATGTGGAAACATGTTCTCAACATCCACAGCATGCCACATGTCCATACCATTGATTGGACTAACATTATTTTCATAACAGATTTTGTAAGCCTCTCTCATGTAACAAGGGTCGACAAAAGTTTCAGGGTTAAAATTTTGATATTGCATTGCAGACACAACATGTCTAAAGGCATCCCCACAAGGTCCCAAAGTTAACATGTATAACTTTTTTTTCCAAGATCAACAACAAATTGAAGTCCATTATATGGATGATAGACTTTCTACAACTCACACATACTCCATGTTGGCAGCCATTGACCACTCATAAGAGTTTCCTTATCTAATGTTTTCCTAGGATTGGGTATTACACTGTGCTTCCATTTGTCAAGCTTAACTAAATTATTGGCAACCCTATTCATTAGATAGTTCCTAATCCACTCTACCATTATGATGATTGGTTTATCCCTAGCTTATAAAATTATACTATTAAAAGAATCACTAAGGTTATTCATCAACATATCACACTTAGGGTAAAAGAAAATGGAATGCTTACACCATAACTTGGTAGGCACTCCCATCAACTATTCCCATGCCTTCTTGTCCAGTTGCTTAAGCTAATTCATCTTTTTCTCCTAAGCCAAAAATTAAGTAGCTTTGGTAGCCTCCATCAATAGGTCCCTTATTGCAGCTCCACCACCAAATTTCTTTTTGAAATTGGCATATAAATGTCTTAGACATATTCTATGCTCAATTTGCTCAAACATATCCTCAAAAACACTCACTAGGCCCTAAAAATATAAACACATAAACAATAAAACAATTTCAACTTTGAAAACCTTAAACAAACAAACTATCAAATACTCATAATAATATGTACCTTTGTTGATATGAGATAAAAACATAGTTTCTTTCAACCCCAATGTCTTCCATAAGTAACTACATAAACCATTTTAAATTATCTTTTGTTTCAGTCTCCATTACACCAAAAGCCAAAGGATAGTACTGGTCATTTAGATCCCTTACCACAACCATCAATAATTTCCCCCATATTGTGTCTTAAGGTGAAACACATATACTCCAATAAAGGGTTTATATGACTTAGTAAACCCTTTTTTTACAACCATCATAGCAAAAATAAAATCTCCTAAATCCTGGTGGGAGAGTTGACAATGGCCTCTCAGTGTTAATCTTCACTGTATTCCCAGCATAATGCTTATTCAACTCAGCTGCATAACTCCAAAGCATATTATATTATTCCTTTGCATCTCCTTCAACAATTTCATCTGACATGGCTCTAGCTCCCCGAGCCTTCCCTTTGGTTATGCCAACAGTGTATTTCTGCCTTAGTTCACACTTATCCTAGTCACTTTAAATTTTCCACGTGACTTCCTTTTTTCAACAACTAACTTAGATACCCAGTTGGCATTAGAAGATTTGGTATTTAATACCATTACACATGTGTGTGTCCCCACCCACGTGTTTATTTGGTAGGTGTGTCTGTCACCCACTTTGCTACACAAAGCTAAAAAAAAACTGCATTTACCCTTGCACTCTAACCTAGCCCTCTAGATCTCATTCTCAACAAATGTTATCTCTCTTTCATTTGAAACTGACCACTCCCTAATTGCATCTTTAAATTCAGATAAAGAATTAAATTCCACACCTAGTTTGAATTGAAAGTCCTTGTTTAGTAGCTCGCCTTTGAATTTCTCATACTTAGGCTTGGGTTGTTTTTCATCCTTGTTACTTTCATCAGGGTATGAGGTATCTAGTTCCTCATTATCATAGTCCAAGGCTCTATTGCCAACATTATTAGTATTATTGGTATTCCTCTGTGAACTAGATCTCAAAACACTTTTAAGAACCAAAATATTCACTTTGGTTGGCTTGGTTAGGGATTTCCTCTTTTTCAGATCTTTGGATGACATAACCTTGAATCTCATAGGCTTCCCATTTACCTCAACACTATTACATTTAGCTAGAATTTATACTTCAACTTCCTCAAATTCTTCCTCCTCTACTTCACATGTTCTTTCTTCTTCACTGTCATTGTACCTTATGCCTCCATAATCATCATCATCAGTGTTATCATATTCACTGCAGTCACTAAACTGATCAACATAAGGCTTCAACACCTTGCTCATCATGTCTTGAACACCGTGTTCTACCTATGGTATAATCCTACAAGGTATTTCAATGTCTCTTGTCTTCATACTTTAGGCATTTTCAACCATATTTACTTTATGATTGATAACTTAGGATTGCAGAGTTTATTTGAGAAAAAAGATTCTACTTATGAGTTATTAACCCATGAATTTCTGAGTTCTTTTATTTACAAAGTTAGACCTGACTCTGCTAGCACGATATGTACCATTTAGTTTCACATGTTTAACACTGAATACTCATTTACTACTGATGAAATTGTTGATATGTTTGACCTTTCCCATGGGGAAGGAGTACCCTGTGAGGCTCCACTTGAGTTAGAGTGGGGAAAGGATGTTTTTATGTTCTGGAGAGAAATTATAGGTCTTACAACTACTTCTTTTGAGGGCAACCTTGGCTCCTCAATCCACAACCCGGTCGTTTGCTATTTGCGTCAAATGTTGGTCGACACTATATTCTGTCAGTAAAACTGCAACGAAACTAATCCAAAAGATATGTTTTATATTCATAATGCCCTTAACGACTGCCCGGTAAATTCTGCACCGTTTATGATAGCAAACATAAGAGTGTCTAGAGGCCTTATCCTGTTTGGAGGTTTGATTACCTCATTGGCCTGCACAATTGGCCTTAATGACAAACTGGATAGCTTAGAGTCATTGCTACCCCGCTCTTTCGATCTTGATAGTACCAGAGCCATGTGGTTTTATAGAAACCGAAGAGAGGGGGATACCATCTTATAATTCATATTATGCGGTTACGAGTATTGTTTTATCATGGACTTCACGTACCAATGTGCGAGTAAGAGCCAATTTCACATATGACCTTAATGCCCCAGCGTACGTTGGTCCACCACCTAGGGTAGCCCCTGCCAATATGGCAGAAGATAATGATTATGACTATGATACGCAGGATCACGTTTCATCTCATGTATCACTTGCATACGACACACATTACACCATATTTTTTTGACCATGTTGCAAGTACCTTCTAGGGACAAGCTGGAAGAGTCCCACAAGATAGGCATTATACCACTCTATCGGCAGCAACAAGAAATAATGACATTCACGGTAGAGTCACATATCGAGACATATAGATCAATTTAACAGATGATAGCAACTCAAATTACACAGGCTACTTCTTTGGAAAATATGTCTGGCACCATTAATGTTCTGCAAGGCTGTTAAGGAGATATCTTAGGGCATATCCACCTTCTGAGAGAATAAAACACTGCATTGGTAGCACGAGTGGAGTGGTTGACCTTAGCAGACACTTTCAGAATTCGAAGCAGAACACGCTGAAGAAGGAGTGACAGCCTAAGGGGCACACACTAGCTCTCACCAGGTTTTTCTTTTCCTTTTTCACCTTATATCAAAACATTGGGGACAATGTTTGGTTTAAGTGTGGGAGGGGAACTTTTACTTGCTTTTTAGTTATATTTATTGCTTTCTTTATTTTTCTCAGTCTTTTGTTAAGTCATAGTTTGTTGTCGAGTCATTTCATGCGCTGTTGAGTAATTAGTGTGTGTTTTCTACTGTTTATTTCATTTTCCCTCGCTCTTGAGCCAAATATTTCGAAACTTTATGGCTATGGGACAAATAAAGGATAACTCACAAAGACTTGGGAAAATTCCTAAAAGATCGGTACCATCTCAACATCGTAAGTCTCTTGATTATAGGAATCAATTTGCATAATTATTATTCATAGCCTTGGATTCTCATCTCTGAATCAGTTTTAAGTAGTTTATTTCAGTAGTCAACACCATCTAAGTACCGCTAAGTGAATAAGCTAATGAAAATAAGTGACTGATCCCGTAAAAAGAAAGAAAAATAAGTAGTAAAAAGCAAATAATTTGAAAAGAGAATCCGCCTTCTAAGTTAGGTAACCATCACCCGGTTATTTAGCCTAACGGTGGAGGAACCTTTAAAATTTCGTCTATGCGTCTGTATTGAAAAAAATTCAGATTCATAATCACCAACAGGTTTGTTCACCATGCGAGTATAAGATAACGGGGTTAATGTGATTGTGCCTGAACGAAAAGAAATGAAAAGTGAGATAAGTAAGTTTGGCATGAGCATAATAATATGATGTGAATTGATGAGTATAAAATGGAGACTTATGACCGTGAAAATGCGAAGTGTGTTGCTACGGTATCCTTAGTTTTCGAGCTAGTACCTATTAATGTGACCATGTCCAAAGTAAAGTCCATAGTATAGAATAGTTTCTATAAGTAACAAGTCTTGCTTGAGGACAAGAAAGGGTTCAAGTGTGGGAGAGTTTGATGACATGACATTTCACTGTTTATTTGACTTGATTAGTGCATGTTTTAGAGTTGTTTTGATTTGCGTTTGTACTGTTATGTTGGTATTTTATATGTTTTAAGGTATTTAGTTATTCAAGAGCCTTGTGCGAAGGAACGAAGAAAAACAGACAAAAAGCGTAAGGAATGAGGTTGGTTCATGCTGATGGCGACCGCCATGGCATTCACCATGAGGTGGCCATGAATGGTCCATGCACCAACGGTCAAAAGACCAAGTCATGTCTAGTTTGAAGGTATGGAGCTCACCATGAGAGTATGGCGTTCGCCACACGTTGTAGACATCAAACAGTTACAAAAAGGGCTTCTCTTGGTCTCCAAGTCTCATTTTTCTCTCCTAAAAAGTCTCCCACGAATTTCAGGAGCTGCATCATGATTTTAGGGTTCCTGATTTTCTATAAATAGGCTTCTTAGTTAACTTGTGAAGGCACCCAAGCTTAGTGAAACACTTAAGCCATATGTTGTCCATTTGTAAGCTTTAACTCTCCACACTGAAGGGTTATTGCATTCTCGATTGAGTTTGTATCAAGCTTGGAGCAACCCATGTACAAGTTTTATTTCTCGCTGTTACTTTATCGTTTTGAAGATTATCAGCTTTTATTTCAAGTTTGCTTTTGTACCAGACCAAATTCTCTTCGGAGCAGGTTTTCATTAAATTGCTTTATATACTTTCATCGTCTTTATTTACTTTCCCGTTCATCTTCTACATTCACTTAAACCGCACCTTTTAATTATGTTCGGC